CACATGGGGGTTTTTTGGGATGGTTTTGGGGATTTTGTGGCATTTGCTGAGCCTGGAGTTTTTTTGGGGGCAGTTTTGGAGTTTTTGAGGTGTTCAAGTACCCCGGAGTTTTTGGGGTGAGGTTTGGGGTTTTTGAGATATTTGCTGACTAAGGGCTTGTTTGGGGGATGGTTTTGGGGTTTTTTTGGGGTATTTGCTAACCCTGGGGATATTTTGGGGTGGTTTTGTGGTTTTGGGGTATTTGCTGCCCCTGGGGTTTATTTTGGGGTCGTGTTGGGGTGGTTTTGGGCATTTGATCACCCAGGGGGGTTTTGGGGTGACTTTTGGGTGTTTGGGGGTTTATGATAGCCATGGGGGTTTCTGCGGTGGTTTTGGGGTATTTGCTGACCCTGGGGTTTCTTTTGGGGTGGTTTAAGGGGTTTTGGTTATTTTTTTTTGACTGTTTTGACCCAGTCTGAGCCCAACTCAAGCAGGGTCATGGTGGCACCTCCTCCATCCAAAAAAATTTCAAAATTTAGGAAAAAAATCAGGATTTTGTGAAAAACTAGGTATTTCTTCCCCCTTTTCTCCATCTTCCTCATCTTCCCCATTCTCACCTCCAAAACTTGAAGTTTTGGGTCACTTTTGGGCTTTTTTGGACCCAAACTTAGCCCAACCCAAACAGAGTCAAGGTGGGACCTCCTTCATCCAAAAAAAAAATTAAAAAATCAGAGTTCAGGAAAAAATTCAGGGTTTGGGAAAATTGGGACCTTCTTCTCCACCTTCTCCATCTTCTTCATCCTCATTGCCAAAACATTCAAATTTTGGTACTGTTTTTGGGCTTCTTTGACCCAGTCCAAGCCCAACCCAAGTGGGTCATGGTGGAACCTCTTACAACAACAAAAAAATCAGGAGTTTTGGGGAAAAATTGGGAGGTTCTTTTCAATCTTCTCCTCTTCTCCGTTTTCACCTTCAAAAAATTGAAATTTTGGGCCTAGTTTGGGCTTTTTTGGACAAATCCAAGCCCAACCCAAGCAGGGTCATGGTGGTACCTCCCATGACCAACAAAAATCAAGATTTTGGGAAAAACCTGCTGGTGGTTCTCCATCTCCTCAATCTTTGCCATTTTCATCTCAAAAACTCTGAATTTTTGGGTCATTTTTAGGCCTTTTGGGACCTAATCCAAGTCCAACCCAACCAAGGACATGGTGACACCTCCTCCAGAAAACAAAATCAGATATTTAGGAAAAAAGTCAGAATTTTGGGGAAAAATTAGGAGGGTCTCTATCTTCTCCATCTTCCCCATTTTCACCTCCAGAAAATGGAATTTTTGGGACATTTTTGGGCTTTTTCAACTCAATCTGAGCCCAACCCAAGCAAGGTCATGGAGGAACCTCCTCCACCCAAACAAAATCAGAATTTTGGGAAAAGTCAGGATTTTGGGGAAAAATTGGGAGGTTCTTCCCCATCTTCTCCATTCCCACTTCCCAAAACATTGAATTTTTTCTCATTTCCCCCTTTTTTCTCCCCAGACCTCTCCCCTCCCGCCCCCAACATCTCGGTGACACCGGCCAAGGCGCGTTTCCTGGTGGGCGATGCCGTGTCCATCTCCTGCGCCGCGCCGGCGCCGCCCGGCACCGACCGCATCCAGGCCTTCCGCTTCAACGGCACCTCAGGCTGGGCCAGCGACGTCCGTACGTCCCGCCGGACGTCTGTCCACACCTTCACCGTCACCGGGCCCCGCGACGGTGGCTTCCACACCTGCTCCTACAGCGTCGTCCGGCGCGGTGGCCGCGTCCTCCACTCGCCTCCCAGCCGGGCTGTGGTCATCGATGTCCCGAGGTTTTGTGGTGGAAACTCCTGGAGTGGGGGGTTTCAGGAGGCATTTGGGGTCAAAATTTGGTCCCGATGAGGTTCAGGGTTGGGTTTTCCACCCAATGTTGACTTTTCTACTCAATTGGGGTTTTAATCCCAAAATTCATAGCCATTGAGATCCAACCTTGACTTTTGTGTCCAATTGGGCATTTTTATCCCAAAATCTGTCCCCATTGAGGTCCAACCTTGACTTTTCCACCCAATGTTTTGTTTTCTACCCAACTCCATCATTTTGTCCCGAGTTCATCTCATTGAGGCTCAGTGTTGACTTTTCAACCCAACTGGGCATTTTCAGCCCAAAATTCATCCCCATTGACCAAAATGTTGGGGTTTGGTCCAACAGGGGCATTTTGATCCCATAATCTATCCTTGTTGAGGTCCAACCTTGACTTTTCCACTCAACATTGACTTTTCCACCCAATTTGGAATTTTTATCGCAAAATTTGTCTTCATTGAGGTCCAACCGTGAGTTTTCCACCCGACATTGACTTTTCCAGCAATTTGGGCCATTTTTACCTCCAAATCCATCCCATTGACCTAAACATTGCCTTTAGATGCAACGGTGAAATTTTATCCCAAAATTCATCCCCAGTGAGGTCAAACCTTGACTTTTCCACCAAATGTGACCATTTTCACCCCAAAATACACCCCCATTCACCAAAAACCCCCTTTTGACCCAACAGCACCATTTTTACCCCCCAAATCCCTCCCCTTTTCACCTCCAACCTTGACCTCTGACGCTTCCCCTCCCACCAGACCGCCCGACCCAACCCAACCTGACGGTGACACCCTCGGGCCTCACGGTGCAAGGGCAGCCCCTCCTCTTCCTCTGCATGGCCCCGCCCAGCAAAGCCCCTCGGCGCCACTTCCGCTTCCTCCGGGATGAGCTCGAGGTCTCCGAGGGCATCGTGGAAAGTTCTGGAAGCGCCCAGCTGAGGGTGGAGAGGAGCGGCCAGAACCCAGACCGGGAACTTCAGCTGCAGCTATGAGGAGATGACCGAGGGGCGCTGGATTGCCTCCTACCCCAGCCAGGCCGTGGCAGTGGTGGTGGAAGGTGATTTGGAGGGGAAATCGGCAGGGTTTGGCTATGGGGAGGGGTGAGGGGGAAACGTGAGGAGATGGCAAGGTGAGGAGAGGGAAGGTTGGTTGAGTTTGGTTGGGTCAAGGTTGGGTTTGGTATTGTTGGGTTGGGTTGGGTTGGGTTGGGTTGGGTTGGGTCAAGGTTGAATTGGGTTTGGTTGGGTTTTGTTGGGTTGGGTCAAGGTTGGGTTGGGTTTGGTTGGGTTTGGGTTGGATTGATATGGTTGGGTTTGGTTGGACCTTGGTTGTGTGTGGTTTAGTCACGGTTGGGTCGTGGTTGGGTTTGGTTGGGTTTGGTTTGGTGTGGTTGAGTTTGGTCACATCATGATCCCAAATCTCCGCCTGAATATCCAAAATTGACAATTTCCTTTTTTCCCCCCATTTTTTCCAAAATACTGAAACTATCAGGAGCCACTTTTAGGCTTTTTGACCCAATCCCAACCCCAGAATCTCCCCCTGTTTGGTGGGCACCTCCAGGACCATCCAGGGGGTCCCCAAGTTCCTCAAGTCATCAAAAATCAGAATTCTGGGAAAATTTGGGAGGTTCTTCTTCATCTTCTCCATTCCCACCTCCAAACTATGAATTTTGGGCCATTTTTGGGCTTTTTGACCCAATCCAAGCCCTGTCCAAACAGGATCATGGTGGGACTTCCTATAACCAATAAAAACTCAGGATTTTGGGAAAAACTGGGTGGTTCTTCTCCATCTTCTCCTTTCCCACCCCAAAAATTGCATTTTAGGCTTTTTTTCCTGCCAAAAATTGAATTTTGAGCCATTTTCACCCTTTTCCCATCCGAATTTAAAATCACCGATAACACTGATTTTCCCCCAATTTTTTCCCAGACCCGTGTCCGCCCCCCGTGCTTTGGGTGGAGCCTCCGTCTGGCGTGGTCACCGCGGGTCAGCGGCTGCGCCTGACCTGTTCCGCGAGCCGACGTCACTTCCGGCGCCGCTTCCGCTTCTTCCGCGATGGCGTGGAGCTGATTCCGGGTGACCTCATCGATGACGTCATCAGTGACGTCACTGGTGATGGGTCCCAGCTGGTGTTCCCGCAGATTTCGCCTGAATTTTCCGGGAATTTCAGCTGCCGGCTGGAGGAGGAGGTGGGCGGGGCCTGGGTGGAGGCTCCGCCCAGTGAAGGCGTGGCCGTGGTGGTCATGGGTAGGTGAGGGGGTTTTGGGGGGAAAATGGGGGATCTGGGGAAAAAGTGGAGGGGGGAGAGACATATTGGGATTTTTTGGGGTTGGCCACCCCCACAGAAATCGTCAGTCCTGGCTGATTTGCCACGCCCACTACAATGAGCACACTCAGGCAGTTGTCCATAACCAACTTAGTGACCGCACGCCTCTGACCACTCATCACTGACCACGCCCACCCATTGACCACACCCCAGTTGACCATGCCCATCAAAGTGGCCACACCCCAACTGGCCACCCCAATGACTGCTCCCAAAACGGCCATGACCACACCAATGACCACACCCCCAAGGGCCACACCCACTCATTTTTGCCTCACTGAAATTGACCACACCTCTCAAAATAGCCACACCCACCTCCATGTGCACATCACCAAAATGGCCACACCCACCCATTGGCCAGACCTACCTATTGACCACACACAATTGACCATGCCCATCAAATTAGCCTTACCCACTTGAATTATGATACCCAAATAGGCACACCCATTGTTTTGACTACACCCCCATAGGCCAAACCAAGTCCAATGATCACAAGCAATGGCCACACCCATCAAAAGGGGTCTCACCAACCCAATGACCAAACCTACCCCAATGACCCCACCCTAATGACCACACCCCCTAAGGGCCACCCCTACCCCAGGACCGCACCCCAATAGACCACACGCCCCCCTATGACCCCGCACTTGAATGGCTCCACTCACCCCATTTATTACATTTCACACTGTAAAATGGCCACACCCACCCCAATGGCCACTCTCAAATTGACCACAGCCATTACGTGTCCACAGCCTCTCCCGTGACCAGGCCCAAAAATGGCTGCACCCCCTGTGTTAACCACACCCAAGAATGGCCACACCCACCCCAATGACTACACCCCTAAATGGCCATGCCCAGTCATCGTCCTCACTAAAATTTACAATACCTATCAAAATTGCCACACCCACACCAATGACCACATTTCCAAAATTGCCACGCGTATCACAATGGCCACACCCGCCCAAATGATCACAACCTTAAATGGTGACACCCACCTTGATGACCTTACCCCAAAATGGTCACACCCAGTGCAATGTCACACCCTGCCCGTTGGCCACACCCACTTATTTACTGCTCCCAATTGACCACGCCTATTAAATTGGCCACACCCTCTCCTATGATCACATCCAAAAAAGGCCATACCCACAGGGCTGACCACACCCCCAAAAGGCCACACCCACTCCAATGACTACAAGCAATGACCACACCCATCAAAATGGCTTCCACCACCCCAATTGCCACTCCCAAAAATGGCCACACCCACCCCAATGACCACACCCATCCCACTGACCACACCCACCCTCCCTACTTACCACACCCATCCTCAATTGACCACACGCCCAAAGTAGTCATGTCCACCTCAATGACCACACCTACCAACTGATCACACCCAGTTGAGCACAGGGTCCTTTTTTCCAGTGATTTTTTGGGTTTTTGGGGTATTTGCTGACCCCTGGGGTTTTTTGGGGTGGTTTTTGGAGTATTTGATGACTGTGGGTTTGGTTTTGGGGTGAGTTTTGCGGTTTTTGGGGTATTTGATGACTGTGGGGTTGTTTTTGCCGTGAATTTTGGGGGGTTTTTGGGTTTTTAGGATTTTTGGGTTATTTGATGTCCACAGCAGGTTTTTTGGGTATTTGCTGACCCTGGGGATATTTGGGGGTGATTTTTGGGGTTTTGGGGCATTTGCTGACCCTAGGGTTCTTTTTGGGGGTGGTTTTTGGATTTGGGGATATTTGTTGACTCAGGGTTTTTTGGGGTGATTTTGGGGATTTTTGTTATTCACTGACCTTGGGGTGGTTTATGTTGGGGTAATTTTTGGAATTTTGGGGTATTTGATAACCCTGAGATTTTTTGGGGGTGGTTTGGGGGTTTTCGGGGTATTTGCTGACCCAGAGTTTGTTTTGGGTCAGTTTTGGGGGTTTTGGGGTATTTCCTGACCCAGCTTTTTTTTTTTTTGAGGGGGTTTCTCGTCCCCAGCCGAGTTCGAGTTCCCCCCATTGGTCATCGGCGGTGTGGTGGGCGTAGCCTTGACCCTTCTGGTGATCCTATTGGCTGCTTGGCTAGGCCGGAGGAGGAGGAGTCAGTGGGGGGGAGGGGAGGATTTGGACCCCAAAATGTCCCCAGATCACCTATTTTAATCCCAAAATTTCCCTTGTCAGGTCAAAAAGGGAATATTTCACCCCAAATTTCTCTATTTTAGTCCCAAATTTGGCCATTTTGACCCAAAATTCCTCACTTGTATCCCAAAATTACCCCAAATTTCCCCATTTTAGTCCAAAAAAAGACCTTTTTGTCCCCAAAGAGGTAATTTTGACTCAAATTCCCACATTTTACTACAGAAGCGACTCTTTTGCCCCAAAAATCCTCATTTTGACCCCAAAATTGTTCCCAAATTGCCCAGTTGGACCAAAATTTCTTCCGTTTTGGACAAAAATTGACCCTTCTGCCCTCAAATTGCCCATTTTGATCCCAAATCATCCCCAAATCTTTCATCTAAACCCAAATTCCTCCTTTTTACCTCAGAATGACCCATTTTGACCTTCAAATTCCTCCTTTTGACACCAAAATTGTCCCTTTTTAACCAAAAATTGACCTTTTTACCCCAAAATCAGCAATTTTGAGGCCAAGTTGGCCATTTTGGCTGCATCTGACCCAAAATTTTCCCATTTTTATAAAAAAAATTAACATTTTCCCTCAAAATTGCCCATTTTGACTCCCAAATTTCCCTGAAATCTTTATTTTTAAACCAAATATTTCAACTTTACCCCAAAGTCTGCCATTTTCAGCCCAAGTTGGCCATGTTGGCTTCATTTAGACCTAAATTTCCCTATTTGCATCCAAAATTTAATATTTTCCCCTAAAATTTCCCCATTTTGACCCCAAATTCCCCATTTTGACCCCGATTTCCCACTTAAGTCCAAAAATTAACATTTTTCTCCTCCAAATTGCCCATTTTGACCAAATTTTCCTGTTTTGACCTGCAATTTCCCATTTTAGTTTCAAATCTAATGTGTTTCTCCCAAAAATTGCCCATTTTCCCCTTCCAATTTTCCTCTTTGGTCCAAAAATTTTGCCCCAATTTGACTCCAGATTTCCCCTTCTCTCCCAAACTTCGAATTTCTCCCCAAATTCCCCAAAATCACCAAATTTCTCACCAAAAACCCTTTTGAACCAAACTGCCCCTTTGAACCCCAAAATCAGACTCTTCTCACCGCAGATTTCTCATTTTTGACTCAAATTCCCAGGTTTCCCCCCAAACTTAGCACTTCTGCCCTAAAATTGCTCATTTTAATCCCAAAATCCCCATTTCCCCCCCAAATTCCTACATTTTCCCCCCAATGCCCATTTTCCCTGTAATTCCCACATTTCACCCCAAATTTTCACATATTCCCCTAAAATTCCTCATTTTACCCCTCAAATGCCCCATTTTCACCCCAATTTTTTAATTTTAAATCCAAAACTTTGATTTTTGCTACAAAAATCCTCATTTTTTCCCTAAAACTTCAGATCTTACCCCCAAAATCACCATTTCGGTTCCAAATTCCTCATTTTTCCATAAATTATCCAATTTTGTCTCCAAACCACCTCAAAATTCCTAATTTAGCTCATTAAATCTCCTTTTTCATCCCAAAAAAATCCTCAATTCTCTCCAACCCCGCTTTACCGCCTCAAAATATTAGTTTTCTCCAAAATGCCCTTTTTCCTCCCAAAATGGCTTCTTTTTCCCAAAATGTTGGATTTTCACCCCGATCCAGGGGTTACTGCTGGTGGGGGCTGGGCCCTGGTGATGACACTAGGACCCTCTGCATGGGGGACCTCGAGGCTGGCGCCTGAGCTGGGCCATGCCTACCAATATGGCTGCCGGTGCGCTCGGATCATGCCCACAAGATGGCTGACAACATGGAGACCACACCCCCAAAATGCTTCCGAGACCAAGCCCCTAAGATAGCCGACAATGTGCAGCCCGGCCCATAATGATGCTGAGACCACGCCCCCAACATGGCCGACAACGTGTGGGTCACGCCCCTAAAATGGCTTCCAGATCACACCCTCAAGATGGCCAACAGCTCACAGGACACACCTCCAAGATGGCTACAGATGTTGAGGCCCCACCCCCAAAATGGCGACAGTGGGTGGGGCCAGGCCGAGGCAGGCAATGGGGATTGGTGGATCCGATGGTGCTGTGTCCTGATCAGTCGGTTTGGATTTGGGAGCTGTTTATGCAAATAAGATGCAAATTAGGGCTGCAGGCAGGATCCCTGTGGGGTTGTTTAGGGGGAGGACATTATTATGTTCTTATGCCAATGAGATGCTAATCAGGGCCACACAACAGTTACTTGATAGGTCCTGGAGGTATTTTGGGCTGTATTTATGCAAATGAGATTCATATCAGGGGCACAGGCAGGGTTGGGAGGGAGATGTGTTTGTGTGTGTTTGGGGGAGGAAATCAAGGGGTTCTTATGCAAATGAGATGCTAATGAGGGGATTGGTTGGGGTGAGGCTTGGACCAGGACTGAGGGGATGACATCGACCAATGACATCAATGGGATCCAATGGGATCCAATGGGATCCACTGGGACTGGGATATGCTGGATCCAGGCTCAGTGGCTGCAGGGATGATCCCAACCCGGGACCTCTGGGATCTACCGGGATCAGGATCTTGTTTTGATCTGGGATCTCCTGCAGCCAGGAAGTGCCAGACTGGGTTCCACTGGGCCTGGGGGCCACCAGGGTTGGAACCTACTGGGACCTGGGATTGGCTGGGATCTGCCGGGACTGAGATCTACTGGATATAGGATCTGCTGAGATTGGGACAGGTGGGATGGGGATGTGCTGAGGCTGGGATCTGCTGGGTCCCACTGGATCTGAGATCTGCTGGCCCTGGGATCCACAGGTGCTGGGATCTGCTGGAAGATGAATCTTCACAGCCACCACATCAACCCCCCACCAAAACCCCAAATTGCCGTAGAGACCCCATCAACCCCTCACAAAACCCCCAAATTTTTGACAGCCAATCCCAAAACCCCCTAATTTTCACAGTGACACCATTGACCCCTCACAAAGTTTTGACAACCAATTACAAAAACCCCCAGATTTGGGGGGATTGCCAAACACAACACCCCCAAATTTTCACAGCCACCCCATCAATCCCTCACAAAACCCCCAAATTGTTGCAGGCAATCACAAAAACCCTAAAATTTTCACAGTGACACAATTGACCTCTTAAAAAAAAACCAAACTTTTGATAACCCACCACAAAAACCCCAAATTTTCACAACCATTAAAAAAATCCCAAAATTTTCATAGTGACACCGTTGACCCCTCACAAAAACCCCAAAGTTTTAGCAACCAATCCCAAAATCCCCAAAATTTTCACAGCCACCCTAGCAACCCCTCACAAAACCCCAAATTTTCACAGCCAATCACAAAACTCCAAATTTTTGCCAGGAAATCACAAAAATTTTCCCAGCCACCCCATCAACCCCACACAAAAACCCCAAAGTTTTGACAACCAACCACAAAAATCCCAAATTTTTGGCAGCCAATCACAAAACCGCAAGTTTTTGCCAGTCAATCATAAAAAAATCAAAATTTTTGCTGGCACCCCATTGACCCTTCTGAAAAACTCCAAATCTTTGCAGTCACTCCATCAACCCCTCACAAAAACCCCAAATTTTCATAGTCAATCACAAAACCCCCAAATTTAAGCAGCGGCACCACTGACCCCACACAAAACCCACAAATGCTTGCAGCCACCCCATCAACCCCTCACCAAACTCCCAAATATCCTCAGCCAATTACAAAACACCAAAATTTTCACAATCACAAAAACTCTAAATTTTCCCAGTCACCCCACTGAAACCCCCTTCAGAAAAAGCCCAACTTTTCACAGACACCCCATTAACTCCTCGCAAAAACTCCAAATTTTGCAGGCAACCACAAAAACCCCACAGTTTTCCAGACATCCCATCAACCCCTCACAAAACCCCCAAATCTTTGCTGCCATCCCAAAGACCCACACAAAACACCCAAATTTTCACAGCAAATCACAAAATCCCAAAATGTTCACAGCAACACCACTGATCCGTCACAAAACCCCCAAATTTTTGCCAATCATAAAAAGTCAAAAATTTCCCAGCCACCCCATTGGCCCTTCAGAAAAACCCTGAATTGTCACAGAGACCACATCAACCCCTCACAAAAACTCCAAATTTTCACAACCAATCATAAAAACCTCAAAATTTTTGCAGTGACACCATTGACCCCTCACAAAACCCCAAATTTTCACAGCCAATCACGAAAACCCCAAATTTTCAAAGTCATCCCATCAATCCCTCTCAAAACCCCCAAATTTTTGCCAGTCAATCATAAAAAATCAAAAATTTCACAGCCACCCCACTGACCTTTCAGAAAAACCCCAAATTTTTGGAGAGACCCCATCAACCTCTCACAAAAACTCCAAATTTTCAGTCAGTCACAAACCCCCAAAATTTTCTCAGCCAGTGCCAGCAATCCCTCACCAAACTCCCAAATTTTCTCAGCCAATTACAAAATCCCAGCATTTTCACAATCACAAAAACTCTACATTTTCCCTGCCACCCCACTGACCCTTCAGAAAAACCCCAACTTTTCACAGGGCCCCCATCAACCCCTTGCAAAGCACCCAAATTTTTGCAGCCAACCACAAAATCCCAAAATTTTCACAGCAACACCACTGAGCCCTCACAAAATCCACAAATTTTTGCCAGTCAATCATAAAAAATCAAAACTTTCCCAGACACCCCATTGACCCTTCGGAAAAACCCCAGATTTTCACAGGGCCCCCAGCAATCCCTCACAAAACCTCCAAATTTTCACAACAAATCACAAAAGCCCAAAATTTTTGCAGTGGCACCATTGACCAAACTCCCACATTTTGTCAGTCAATCACAAAACCCCCAAATTTTCACAGCCACCCAATTGATTCCTCACGAAAACCCCAAATTTTCAAAGCCAATCACAAAATCCCAAAATTTTCCCAGACACCCCATCCATCCCTCACAAAACTCCCAAATTTTCCCAGCCAATCACAAAACCTCTGAATTTTTGCAACCACCCTATTGACCTCTCACAAAACCCCCAAATTTTTGAAGACATCCCATCAACCCCTTCCA